ATCACAAGTATAGAATATTTTAGAGATATCATTCCCACAAGGATTTAGGCTAAAGAATTAAAAATTCATTATCAAGCTTTAAGTTAGGTTGAGCGAAATCAAGTGTAAGATTTGTGTAAAAGTATGAAATTAGATTAAAAAGTGTGTTAAAGTGAGTAAATTGGTTGAAACTTTGACTTCAAGATAAGGATTTAGAATTATCTCTCCCGTTTGTATTATATAAGACTTAAATTAATTCCTCTCAAAACAATTTTTAATAAAAACAAGTATTAGTCTAAGATTCTAATTTACTTGAAAAAGCTTTCTCAAGTAAAAATTAAGTATTTTTACAAACATTAAAAATTCTCAATCTCTTGAAAATATTTAATGAAAATGAATTTGAAGCTCTAATCCTAATTTGACTATGAAGGGATAGTAAAATATCTCTATTTTACCAACAAAACCATCCATTTATCTTTATAAATTTCAAGTCCAACAATATTTTATCCAAATTCTATATCCAAGTTATCTTTCTCAAGCACAACTTACATAAACAAAATAGTCCAAATGGTGATTGACCATTTAGAAGCATTAAGTGTAGGATAAAATAACACACACACACACACACACACACATTACTAGCTATCAAGAGAGAGGAATAATTAAGTCTTAATCCATACAAAGGTTCAAAATAATCTTTGAACAAATAAACTAGCTACTCGTGTTCAAAAAAGAGCAACAAACACCAAAATATTCAGCATCCATATTAGAAACAAAGAGAGAAAAGGGAAGAGAAATAGAAAAACAAAGGGAAATCCACTTTATTCTCTTCAAATCTTCATTCCTTGGCCAAATCTCCTTCAAAAACCCAAAACCCTAGTAGAGTAGACTCCAAGAACCTTTAGAAATCATAGTATATCCTTCCAAGACTCAAAATTTTCCATATGTAACCCTAGCTTCAAGTCTAATTTCAAAATGCATAGCTTTAGTAAATGGCTTTTGGCCACAACCTAAACCTCTCGGCCAAAACTTTGGTTATAGTTAATTGTTTCTTGGCTGCAGCGAAAATGCTTCTATCTTGTTCTAGTTTTGGCTTTTGGCTAAGGCTGAAAGTGCTTTGACTAGGACTTCATTATTCACTTTTTGTCTTACCTTTTTCTTAGTGTAATAACTTCATAACTCCTTCTTTGCTTCTCAAATAGTGCTCCAACAACCTATGAAGACAAGTAATTTTGCAAGGTCCAAGTTTAATCTTAACCAAGATAAAAATTATGGACAATTTAGACCAAGATTTTGTCATTTAAGCCCAAGTGCGAGATATGTACATTTTCCTATTATATGTACCAAGAGTATGCACAACTTCATCAAAAAACACATGAAACTGTAGGAAAATGTGCTGAGATAGCATAAATTTTTATAGGCTATCATTTAAAATAGTCAAATGTAAAATTAAAAAAAATAAAATAAAACAACTCTAAGGTGTTTTCACCTTTTTTTTAACAAAATGAGAACAGTTTTGAAAATATTTAAATTCAAAGTACTTGTCCGAACAGGTTTTTATTTTTTACAAAAATAAAAATAAATTTTTAAAAAAAGAAATCAAACAAGTTCTAGGTGAATAATTTTTGTTTTTTTATTAACTTTCTTGCATTTCTTGGTAGAATGTTGATCAATAGTTACTTCCCCTCCATGGACCTGCATTCCTTTTTTTCTTTTTAATAAACAAGGAAGCCACACAATGTTCTAAGTCACAAACACATCAGCATCCTTCAAGCACTCCATTTGTAATATATATATATATATATATTGGAGTTCATGCATGAGGAACATGATTAACTATTCAACTAAACGAACGGCTGTCAAAGATTTTGTTATATAATACTCAAAAATCATCAAATCTCAAATTTTTTAACTGTATAGCATACTGAGTAATTCTTTTATTATGAGAATTTTTACTACTTTATGGAGTTTTGCCTCATAATTTTATTTCCTTCCTATAATATTTCTCCACATCCAAATCAATGGTAATAAATTCAAGTAAATGAACCTAAGTTTTATATCCATTATGTCCATAATCTATATCACTAATTACTTTATTTAAATTTAAATTTGCATTTATTTTGAGCTTATATAATGATAAAACATTAAGATTTGCAAATGCAATAAATTGTAAGTGATCATGAAATTTTATGAAAAGGATGATAAAGTCCCTCCCTCCTCCAAATTCATTGCAAATGTAACCGGAGGAATATAATAAAATTATAGATAATGTTATGATGGTCGTCTTACTTTTCGGTGCAGATAGATGATGTCAAAGTTTAAGTCATTCCACATGCGTAGAGTAAATGGCTTAATAATAAAGTAGAGGACTTAAAATAATTTCTATATATATATATATATATATAAGTCATTGCATTTTGAAATTTCAACATTAATTTTGCGTAAAGAAAATGATAATAGTAGAAGTCTTGCTCTTCTCAACCCATTACTAAAGCAACCAAGAACAAAGAAGCCATTAATAGTGACAATCTATCTTTTTAGGCGGTGTCATATTTTTCTTTGGTCAAGACTCCTCAAGTGCTCATATCTTTAAAAAAATGACACAATAATGTGGATTCTATGTAAAAAATTGAATAGTCGGTAAATTATTTTTGTCGTGTTACAATATTAAGATATGATTTTGTAAATGGAGTAAAATAAGTGTTATTTAAAAAAATAACCATAATTAAAATAGTAATAATAGGAGTAAAATACATTGACCTCTCATCTATTTTACCTTAATTACAGATACCTCCCTTCTATTTTGAAAACCTATGCAAACCTCCTATAGAATCAATAATCACAAAACACACACACACGCAAATCACAAAACACAATCCCCCATCTACTTTAAAGATTTCATTTCCATCAACCCAAATCAGTAGTAGACTGTTAAGTCACATTTGTTTGACCAAAATAGCCCTCTTTAAACATAAATGTCACCCAAAAATAATTTAAAATATCAAAAAAATTAATGCACATAATTTTTTTACTTTTTTATTCATATTTTATTTTCAGTTATTCCAAATTATTTATTTATTAATTTTTAAAAAATAAATATATAAGTTTGCTAAGATAATATTTCAAATACGCATGTACAAAAAATTTAATGAAATATGTATTTAATATAATAAGAGATAAATTAGTTAATATAATTTATGTATACTTTCCTGTAAATTTTTTAAATTTCAAACAATGTTTTTAAATTATTTATTTAAATCTTGTGATATTTAATTATTTAAAGTTTATTAAATTGTGAGAGAGAGAATATACAATTCGATTACAAGGGCAAATTAGTAATTATAAATTTTACAACATAATTTCAAGAAAAAAAATATATTATAATAACTAGTTTTTATTCTATTCTTGCCATCTAAGCTATCCTAGAATGACTAATTTGTATGATGTATATTATAAACATTTTCTTTCAATTCTTTGGACATTTCTATTTTTTAACGTGGGGGTTTCGTATCGAAAGCAATTTGTGCCCATCAATACGTTGTGATTGTACTTTAATTATAGTCAAACAAAGACAAGGGTAATTAAAAATAAGCCTCAATTATGTTTCTTATACTTCAAATTGAGAATTTGCGAGTAGTAAATCGTAATGCCATTGCAGCCCCATCACTCCTATACTTCCATATATCACATTCTCATTCATGTCGCGAGATTATGACCACTTATTCGTACAAAACTATACAATTTGTCTCCTTTCGGATACAGTGTAGTTCAAATTTTGTTAATATGTTTTAACATATTGTATATTCTATTAATACTTTTGTGGATACATCACGAACAATTAAGGTTTATCTTTTCCAAAAAAGAAAATATTATGTTTGCTTTATTTTTTGAAATCACTTTTATCATCAATGGTAGAATTAATTTATATTTACAATTATCTAACATATCATGCTTTTATTGGATAGAGCATATGTACATGGTGCACCGGATCCATGCAAGAATTTCTCTATGATTTGTTATTAATTCTATAATTGAAAAGTTTTAAAAAAATTGGTTCTACATATGCTTTGAAGGTTGAATATTAGCACCTATTGAAATGAATATAAAACCTAACCTTAATGAAAATTGTATAATTCATTACAAAAATATTAGGATGAAAATATAGCAAATTACACATTTGACAATAAGTTACTTTTCATATTAATAGGATAATTTTTTGCTCATTGTTTATTTATTATTGTTTGAATTTCTAAATAATAATTTTTTGTGGATATTGATTAAAAAAGCAGGCAAAATTGAGAAGTTACATTTTTTTAACAATTTTTATGATAAAATTATAATTTGTTAATAGGCACAAAGTTAGTTTAGTTTGTCTTGCGAGAGAATATATGAATTCATAAGCATGCATATGAGAAAGCTGTTTCCGGTAGCTTCTCCGTGTGTGAAACTAGAAATTCCCATGGCAGGCCACCAACCTCTTTGTTTTTGTTTTTTTCCCTTTTGAAATGCCATGAGCAGTGTCTGTTCCTAACAGGCAATAAAATTATACAGGGAAAATCACGCTTTGGAATAGAAAATATAATCACACTTCACGTCCAAATATCCCAAAGTCTCTGATAAATCTTAGAAAACAGGATATATAAAATAATATTATAATAAAATTTCCTATTTGATCTTGCAGTTAAATATAAAATGATATGATATAAAATCATTTGAATATCTATAAAATATATCAATTACAATCTCAAAAGCAAAACTGCTTCACCATTCGTATGAAAATAATAAAAGATTTAAGAAAAATATTACATGCATTTCTTGGGGATTATAATAATCTATTAGCCAATTAAACTGTATATTAAATCAGGTGGGACCTTGTTAATCTCAAAGACACACATATATATATATAGCATGACCTTACATATTCACCATCTTCATCAATCTTATAAGCCTTAAAGCAATCTAATATGGCCAACCTTTGGTTTCATTTTTCCTTCTCGATGTTCTCATTCCTTTGCTATCTCATGGTCTGTCCTACTTTATGTCACACCAATTTCACCAAAAATGATGAACTAGCACTTCTTGCTCTCAAAAATTCTGTTAGAGACCCATTCAATCACTTGGCTAATTGGTCCAACTTTTCCTCCATTTGCAATTGGGTTGGGGTTACTTGCGATGCTAATGGTGAGAGAGTAAGTGTATTGAATCTTGCCTACATGAGTCTTATGGGCACCTTACCCTCACAAGTGGGGAATCTGTCCTCCCTTGTTGAACTTGACCTTCACAGTAACAACTTTCATGGCGAGTTACCAATGGAGTTGATGCAGTTACACAAGTTGAAAATTCTCAACTTGAGCTATAATGAATTTGATGGGAAAATTCCAGCTTGAATTGGAAGTTTATTTGCTCTCGAGTACCTGATTTTTCATAATAATAGTGTTGGGGGTGTTATTCATCTGAATGTGTCAAATTTGTCAAAGTTAGAAACCTTGGATTAGACCTATAATTTTATCCATGGATCTATTCCACTTGAGATTGGAAGGCTTCAATATTTAAGGATTTTTCGTATAGCAGGGAACAATCTTTCAGGACATATACCTCTAACTATTTACGGCTTATGTTCACTTGAGCTGATGTCTTTGTCATACAGCTCCTTAACAGGTATGTCTTTCATTATGTCTGTTAAATTCATATTTTCTCCAAATCATTTCAAATAATTTTGTTAGTGGTAGTGTACGTGTCTTAGGATAAGCATTACAATCTTTTATTCAACATTGATTTTGTTGGAAAGGGGAAGGGGATATATGTATATATATTAATTATGTTGAGTAGGGGCGATAAATGAATTTACAAATTATATATAATTTAAATATTGTTGCAATATTATTGGAAACTTCATCACTAAGCTTTCGACACATCATAGCATGCTACCGGATTTGGTTTTCTCTACTTCCCTAGGAACAACTCTTTTGCTTTTTCTTTTTTCTTTTTTGAAGTTTGTGCCCTTTTCATTTGGCTTCTTTGAGCCATAATGTAAGATACTTTTTAAATGTTTTTAAACTTATATGATCTTCTATACACTATATGTTATCAATGATCTAAGTTTATATTCTCACATAAACACCTTTCTATGATTTCCTATGCACAAGCACTGATTGAAGCTTGATTTTGCATACGCAAATTATAGTTGGCGACATTCATTTCTTACTTCTTCTTCTTCATCTGCTTATTCTTTGCTTCTTTTGTCTTTTGGAGCATGAAATTATGAACTTGGATACTAATAGGTTGCAGTCAGAATGCTATTAATTATAGGAGAAAACTTACATGCTTAGGCTTAAATACTTAAGGTGCTTTTATCCAATTAAATCAAGACTTGTGGATCTTTTATAGATTATTTTTTCTGTAATAAATTCTTGTCATTAATTAAATTAATATATTAAGATCTACATGTAATGATTTGATTTGATATAATTATATTAAGTATACAAGGCTAAATACATAAGTCTCACCCTTAATTATATATCCCATACCTTGTCTTTGCAAAAAAAAAAAAAATTGGATCCTATTTTCATATATAATTTGCAATCTTTTAAATTTCCATTGAGAATTCAAGATTTTGAATATAAATGAGGAGAATTTTGGTTTGGTGTCTTATAAGGAAAATTTCATTAAATTTCAAAGACTTTAATGAAATTAAAAATCAAATATATTTACTAAAATCTAATGTTAATAAAGGAAGGTATTTTATTAAAAAAAAGATGAGTATTTTTGTGATTTTAATTTTATTTTTAATTTTATTAAAATTTCTGGAGATTTAAATTAAAATTTTATAATTTTAAAATTTAAGTGAAATTAGGTACCATAGACCCAACTATAATTTCCCTAAAAACTTTGAATTTTGGTATTAGTTTTCAGTTTTCACATAGACCCCATTTGGTAAATTGAATAGTTTTGGATATAATTGAAATCAAAATTGAAATAAAATTAGACTTTAAAAATATGTTTGGAATGTTAAAAAAAGTATATAGAATCCTTACAGTATTGTTGTTTAGTATTTGTGATATGGAAATAGATTTATACTAAATGACAAATATACCTTTAAAAAGTCATTAAATTAAAATTAAAATTAAAACATATTAACTCAAATGTGTTTATCAAGGGATGCTTGGTTCAACTAATCAAGGAAGTTGAATTAACTTAACCTGTGGCCTCAAGTTTGAGTCCTAGGATAAGTAGTCATGTTAAATAAATACGTCAAAAGCATTCTCAAGGTACCCTATGAGGCCACCATTAGTAATAGTAGTCCCACACAGCAGGAGTTCGGACTAGTCTGAGCGAGAAGTGATAATACCCTAGGTTTTCTAGGATACCGAGTTACAGAATTAAAAAAAACTCAAATATGTTCTCTGTATGCATTATATTCTGGGCGAAAATATTACATAGATATATAGATCGGTTGGAAATGTGTATAAAAATTATGGTGTTAACTAGGTTTTATGTTTTCAAACTGCGTTTATTCTATTGAGATAGAAGAATAAAAAGAAGAAAATGAAAGCCAAAAAAGAGAGGATGGGAAAAAAGAAGAAGGGAAATTAAACCATCATCATGATGCACCCTCTATCACACTAGGTGGCTTCATACTCTCTCACCTTTGTTCTCTCTGCCGTCCACAATGAAATATGAGTGATGTCAAAGATTATATGACTTTTTTGGGCAAACATGGCTTTTCAAATTCATTATGAGGGTAAACATGTCTTAAAAGAAGTAATTATATAGAATTGTTCCAGATTCCACGCATATACATAAAAAAAAAACCAGTTTTGGGTTTTTTCCCACTATAATTAGGATTCTTGCTTCTTGGAAATTCTATTTCATCTGCACCAAACACCACCTTAATAGGATTCCCACACCAATTCCATTTTCATGTTTAAAATTCTTTTCTACCAAAAAGAACATATCCCTAAAAATAATTTATCTTTTAAATTTTTATTTTTATCATATTTTTTATTTAGTATTAAATTCCTATATAATTAAAAAATTTAATATTTTAAAGTGCATGTAGAATATTTTTGAAAAATAATTTGAAAATAATACATATTTAAATAGTTAAGCATACATTATTTTCAATTAGAAAGGAAACTATTTTTTCATTGTTTATATTAGTTTTAAAATTTTTATAAATTATAATTTTGATTAATTAATTAAAAATTAAATACAAATAATTTTAATTAAATGTTGGCCCGGTGAATGAGACACAGTGGAAGGTAAGTTGAACTTTTGAGGTAGCCAAAAAAAGTTATACTTATAATAGTTTATGAACTGTGTGTATTTATATAAATTTTATATTAGTAATTTAGAATGATCACAATTCAAAAACGACATTGTACATATTGGCTAGCAGAAGCCCAAGCCCATCACCAAATTTAACATTTCATAATCAAGATGCAACTTTTAAAATTAATTAAAATTGTCGTGAGTAATATGGACTCTTATTATTTAAGCAAGTAGTTAGGAATTTGAATCTCAACTCTTATATATGTAGCAACTTAGTTGAAAGAGGTCTAGATAATCTCTGCTGTTAGCAAGCCTGACTCCTAGTACCCAAAAAAACAAGAAAGTGTAACTTTTAAACAAATATATGAACATTCATAGCATTGTAATTAAACTTAGATAAAAAAGGCTTATTTAACTATAGCCCGGTAAATCTCAATGACATTATATTTATATTAAATGCTTTAAAGTATATCATATTTTATAATTAATTTTTCTTAATTATTTAAATTGTTATCCTAATGGCAACATAAACTCGACGCCTGGACAATCTATTTTTCTCTATTTAATTAGTTACACGTAACCATCTCACCTTTAAAGTTATAAAATTAACCCCCAACTTTTAATTTTGTTTTTCAAAGCCCCCTATCATTAATTACTCTATTACATTATTAACAAATTTTTCCATATCATATTTTAAAAACAAAAAAGCCACATAGAAACTTACATAATATCTTATATCAGCAAATAATAAATATATAAAAAATATATTATTTTCATAAGAGTTAAAATATCATTTATCTTTTAAAAACCCTCACTACCCTTCCATCTCATTGTTAGAACTTCAATTTCTTTTTTCTTTTTGGATAGTTCAGGCATTGATAGCAAAAGAAAAAAATTTATTATCACTGTAAAATTTTAAATATTTACTTTTGTATCTGTTTTATCTATTTTTTTAATCAATGATGATTGTTTTCTTATATTAAAGGGTAAACTTTTAGTTATATGATTCTTACAAATGGCAGTTGTTAGATATTATTCTTTCCACTTACTTAACATAAAAGTATATTTTTAATTGATAAAGAATTGTAAAATTATAGTCTTTCTCCTAAATTTTGTTAACAGTGAATAATGAAAACAATGTTGCTCGACTCAAAAAAAAAAAAAAACAAAGAAAGAAAGCATCATCATGTGTGTTAAATGTAAACATTACAGTTCTGCCCCTTCTTAAGTTGTGTTAAAAATAATAAAAAAATGCGGTATGTTCCTAATACATCATGATTTTAGATGTTAGTCATAAACTAAAATTTTTATCATGAATTGGGTTGATTTTTTTTGTTTTCAAGTTACCTTCAGTTAAACTAATTACTATTGTTAGAAAACAACACATGTCATCTTGTAAATTATCTGTACAATTATTATTATGTGTTCAGTTGATGTAAGCTACAGCTGTCAAGTGTAATAGATCATATTGATCAAGTGGTTGTACTTGATGCTTATATATAATACACCAGAGACTTTTTAGTAATTAACTGGCCGCATTCATACAATATTCCACTTTCTCATCACTACTATGTATGTTTGCCATAACTCTTTAATAGTTATTAATGTATGATATATATATATATATATATATAGAGAGAGAGAGAGAGAGAGAGTATATATAAGATAGACAAATTAATCAAAGTTTGAAACTGTCTTAGGTTATATCATACTTTATGGAATTGCTTCCGGAGGCTGTAGCGATGCCATAAAGTTGGTATTTATAAATGAGTATATATTTTTATTATGACTAAGAAAGCCTACATCTTTGTCATAGCGTATTTATTTGTTAAATGTTAGAGGATATATAATAATAATTTGATCATGCATATTACTTTATAACCCTTAGCTACATCCCCATTGAATAAAAATGATCACATATAGAAGAATTATTGTGCGAAATTTGCAAGACTTTGGTCTGCATAAAAATATAGAACTATTACTGTGTTCAACAATGTTTTTTGGACTGAAAACCATAGATAAGCTTACCCAAGTATTACTACACAAGAAATATATGTCAAAAATTTACCAATTCCTATTAGATTATATATGTAACCACTCCTTGTTGCCGCAATCATAGCTCTAATATATCACTTTGCGTCCATTTTTGAGTTCCTTTATTTTTATCCCTAAAAGTGTTTCGGCTTCATTGGTCATAAGTGATACTTCATATAAGATATTGCAATCAATCTTAGATGATTGGCAGCCTTTGATTTCTTAACGAGTATAGACTAATAAATATATGGAGCCTTTTATCTTTGGCACGCCATCTGCCCATGTGATGATTGCACGATATATTTTATATGGAACTCCCTTTGTAGTTATATTTTAAGTTTCTATTTATATATACAGCAAAAGTAGTATTATTGTTGTTGTTGCTGCTGCTGCTGCTGCTGTTGAATTAAAAGGATATGTATCATGTCTCCTTCTCTTTCTCATTTACTGTTTTTCCCTTTATTCTTATCCCATTACAGGAGATATTCCAAAAGAGATCAGCCATCTTCAAAATCTGAAAATTCTATATTTACATACTAATGAGCTCTTTGGCCAAATACAATCAAATATCTTCAATATGTCAAAGTTGCAAGATATTGATTTAAGCTGGAACAATTTGTCTGGAAGTACTCCCTTTGATATATGTCAAGGACTTCCAAAATTACAAGTTCTATATCTTCAAAAGAATGAATTATCTGGATCCTTGCCATCTAATTGGACACAATGTAAAGAGTTCAAAGAATTACATTTAGAATACAACTTCTTCACAGGTGTGTGCTACTCCTCTATGTCAAAACTTCAACTTTCATTTCTTTGTAAATATATTTTAATTGCACTTTAATGATTTGGGATTGGTTAAGACTATAGAAGAAAAATAGAAAATCTATTTCTTATATTTTCATTTAAATTAAATTCTTCTCTAACAAATTTATCAAATTGCTCCTTGAAGCCTTTCTAGAGAATTAATATTGTTTTAAATGCTATATCTTGGTGAGCATCTTTTCTAGCTAGTAATATCACATGTTTGTATAAATCTTTATTTAGTCTTAAGATTATATAATCACACTTTAATGATTTGGGATTGGTCAAGACTATAGAAGAAAAATAGAAGATATATTTTTTATTTTCATTGAAATTAAATTCTTCTCTAACAACTTAATAATTTCTGCTTGAAACCTTTTTAGAGAATTAATATTGTTTTAAATGTTATATTTTGGGAACTTCTTTTGTAGCCCGTAATAACATGTTTGTATAAATGTTAATTTAATCTTGATATTATATAAAAGGCTTATATACTATATTTTTGTGTTTTTTGGAACTTCTGTTGTTATATAGAAGGCTTATATCTTAATATTATATATTTGTGTGTTTTCATTTACTGTTTGTAAATCCCGTTTAGACATAAAAGACTTGTCAAAAGTAGATTTTTTTTTTTGGAAAGTTGGATAAAATGAACAATGTATAATATGTGGTTTTGCATAAAGTTTTACTACACAAGCAATATATTTCAAATAGAATTACTGCACATTTTCTATTAGATTATGCCACCACTTTGTGTTGTCATGATCTGACTATAGTATTTGGCTTTGGTTTCATATGTGGCTTCCATTAATTGGTCAGTCAAAGTCCGTCTATAATTAATTATTTTTGATACATTACTACTGCTAGAATTTCTAAACGCGAGGCAATGTTCAAAATGTGTTCATATTTAATATTGAAGATGCCAAGTTTTAATAAAACAATCATTGATTTTTTTGGTTCAATTACACTCCAAAAGAAGATTTCCCTTTTAATTCTCTACATAAAGAGATAGATAGTGGACTATCAGATTATGGGTTGTCTATATCTTTATAGCTCTATCTCAACTTCTTCTCCTTTATTGTTTTCATTATCTTATCTTCTTTTGACTTTCCTTTTCTCAATCTCAGAAGTCATTATTTGTTGCTTCTTTGGAAAGCTAACTTTTGAGGAAAAAAAAAATCTAAGAAAAGAATTGTGTAATGATGTTGAATATATAATTTTTTTATAAATTTTTTTGAAGTGAAAATTTTTAGTGAATTTATATAATCATTTTTTCCACAAACATTATTATAATTTCAGAGTATTTGCTCCCATTTAACATAGGACTGTTATGATTATGTAACCACTCCATGCTACCGCATTAACATGGCTATAATTTGTTATACTTTGAATACGTTTTTGAGTTCCTTTATTTTTTGCTGAAAGTGTTCTGGATTTCATTTGGTTATAAGTGATTTTGCTAAAAGTGTTGTATCAATATTACGCTTTAAATGAACAAAACATGATCTTATGAGATATGAAAAGAAAAAGTTCAAGTTATGTCGTACATGAGCCAGCCACTGAAATAATTCAAACATCTGAGAGGTATAAATTAATTAAATATTCGTTGACAGCTTTCAAGGTTTTTTTTTTTTTTTGGTGCTTGAGTTAAACTATTTATTATTTACTATCTACCCCTCAACAACCGTTATCATTTTGACTAATTTTAGAATTTGTAGTACCCTGTTAGTGTAATCAATCTATAGAAGTAACAACTCTTCACACACAAGAATTTTACGGATGGAATAAAATAAACATTTGAGAGATAACTATATTTCAAGGCAATCTTCATTCGAACTTTCTTTTTTTAATTTTTATTATCAATATTTTTAAAATTAATTCACGATTTTAGAGTAATGTTATATTAGATAATAGATGGTGAACAATAATATAAAACTTAAAAATACAAATATATAAAAATAAAACATATTAACAACATATTAACATTACAAAAGTACTTCAATAAAAAAATTTGTAAAGAATATAAAAGGAATTCATATTTTAATGATCTAGGAATGATACAATGGTATAAATTCAATGAAGTCAACAATTTATTAATATTCCATATATATAATATACACTATTCTCACCGTTTTTATATTGTAATTATTGTTAGCAATTCTAAGTTTGTTTATATATGTAAGTTTTTATTCAAAATGTTTTGTGAGTTTTGATATATATTATTAGAAACTTCTCAAATTATTAATTATTCATAGTCACAATAAATTTTAAAAAATGCATTCATAAAATTACGTTTGTTACTTATTTATCTTTTATCATAATCTTCTTATACATGATAAATGATAATCATGTGTTTTTTTTTATTATCATATTGCAGGAAATATTCCTCAAACAATGAGTGATCTTACAAACCTGAAAGTTATATGTCTAAGCGCTAACAAGTTGGCTGGCCAAATACCAAGGAATATTGGAAACTTGACAAAACTTCGAGAACTAGAACTTGCTGGAAATAACATAGAAGGTATACTTTCAACTTATCATATTGTGCAACTTTTTATCAATTTTGTGTTTTTTTTATTTGGAAAAGTTCATTGAGGAGCTATATCATATAAATATACATGGCCTTGCCATTGGAAGCAAGGGTCTCCAAGTTGTTTTTTAACAAGTTTACAGAAAAAGGATGATCATACACGGATTTGTTAAAAATTATTTATCATACATGGACACTTGGAGCATCAAACAACTTTTCTTACATCTTTATCGAATACATAGAAAATATTCTTATTGGAATTTCTAAGTGACAAATTTAAATTTTATATCTTTAAGCATTAACACTTGGGAAGTTGGCTATGCTTCAAAAGGTATATCTTGATCAAAATACTTTACAAGGTAATTTTTAATCAAATTATGATATTCTAGCTATTATATTTTTCTCTCTTTAGTTGTTTTGTTAGTATTACTAAGAATAACAATGATTTTTTCTCTTCCTATTTTTTCTTTTGTTTATAAATTCGTGTGTTCTAGAACTTACATTGATAGTCTTTTGGGTGTCATATTTTCCTGAAAAGTTGTTCAACAACATTGAGTATAGTTATAAAGTTCAATATAAGTGAAATTTATATGACATATTTTTTTAGCAAAATTTATCCATATATATATATATATATATTATTGTATAAAAAGCCAATATGATGTATTTGGCTTGTGAATTGTGTTGTGATTCAAAATATTTAATTTATATTGAACTGCATGCTTTGTTATTTTGTAATATAATGTTTAAATTTTTTCTGTTGAATTTATGAAAGGGGTTTTTAGTAAATTTAATTGAGGCACATGTAAAATGATTTTGGATGAGCAAGTTAAATCCTTCACGTATAACACTATCTTCTCACGAGATACATTCCAAAAGTCAGTGGTCTTGTTTTTATTTTTTATTTTTATATTTCAATCATCTTATACAGTTATATTGCATCATTTTAACATGTTTCGTAAAATTTTAAAATTACAAAATATGTTTCTTTGTCTCAAGAAAAATTTTGGTCTATTACCATTTGTTTAGTATATTATGCTTTATTCATATTCGCTTTTAATATGACTTCATTTTTGGGCTTTAATTAATTGTTTGGCAACATAAAGATGCATTGGAAACTTGATATACTGTTAGAAAATCATAGTTTGGTATCATCGATCATTTCATTCCTTTCTGTTCTTCTTTTGTCTGTTGGAACATAATCACTTGTGTGACAATGTTAATATCTACATCAATATTAAAATATAAAATCTGCATATCAGTTGTTTCCATTAAACTGTAAACAAGAATCAATAAATTAGCAGATAGAAAACTTTAGTCCCTATAAACCAGAATCGACATCCCTATTTTATGGGCTAAAAAACCGAGGTATTCCACAATACACAATGCCAAGATTTGTTTACATTTGAGGTGTAGGCCAAAGGCATAGGAAAGATGAAGAAACTTCGAACTTTGACTTTTGATTTTTGTTTTTTCTCAGCGATGCCTATGTAACATTATATCACATTTTCAATCACAGACCAAGTCACTCAGAGTCCGGTTTTGACTGTTGCATTGGAATGGGCCAAGAGCTAGTTCCAATTCAACCAATTAAACTGGCAGATAAAATATAGAATTGTATTACTCTGTTTTTTTGGACTTCAAAACAGAGGTAAGCAAGCGATAGTGTTATTGACTATATGAAGATTTACCTTTCCAAATCCATGCTCTTTTCATTTAAGTCTCTCAATAGTTTGTTTTTCTTCTATTTATTTTTCAAAAATCAATTCAATGAAGATTTTCCTTTTAATTTGAACTATCAGATTATGGGTTGTCTATGTCTTTAATTTGTAGCTGTATCTCAACTTGTTCTTTATTGTTTTTGTTATCTTATCTTCTTTTGAATTCTCTTTTCTCAATCTCAGAAGTTGTTCTTTGTTGCTTGTTTGAAACGCCAATTTTTGAGAAAAAATCTTAAAAATGAGAATTGTGGAATAACGTTGAGTATATAATCCTTTTATATAAAGTTTGTCTGAAGTGAAAGTTATTATTTACATAATTATTATTTAGACCCTCATTAGAATTTCAAATTGGAGATAATATTTGAAATGTGTGTGTATATAGATTTATATATTAATGTTGAAGTACTGTAAATGTCCAATCATCATCATGGTTGTTTAATAATTGAGATAAAAGTTTTTTTTTGGCCAGACATAAAAACAAGTTTAAGCTTGTTAGTTAAACCCGTAGCTTTTAGTTTGTCAAATGAATAATACGATCCTGAAAAATTCCTTTTACCTAAAATCAAATATGTGATTTCATCCAAAAAAAAAAATTGAAAACGTGAACCATCACTGTACGTATAGTCTATTTTTTTTTTTTAGGTTATGCGAAGCTCAACAAAATATGTATTAAAAATTGAAGAGTACGTAAAAGAGAATATATAAAAGCCAAAAAAGCCATATTTATTTTTTAGTTAGATTTAAATGTTTTAATAATGAAGTATAATATTTTAAAATTTTTTAATTTAGTATCTAACCTGTACATCAAACATAAAACGTATATAATTTTTTTGCAATCTGTCTTCTTATGTTACTTTTCTCTTCCTGCCTCTATCTAGCAAATTGTTGGGAAAAAAGAAAGACAAGACTACGTTCCAATTTTTATATTCCAATTTCCTGTACTTTAATCTACCTTGGGATATATTTCTTGCTTAGATACAATGGGAAACCTTTATCTTATTTTTATTGACTCAAAGCTCTTCTTTAACCAAATATGTAAATGCTACTCATTTTTGTTTTTACAATATCTTATCATGCATCAATACTAAAACAAGCTCTCTTTTTTGTGAGTTACTTTGCACATGGCAAGAAATTATATTTCCAGTAAAAATCATGTGTAAGAATAATACCTTCACAATCATTTGATTGACTTATGCTAAGTAGAACATGACTCAAGAAGGTTTTTACATGTTTGGAAAGCCATTTCGTGAAAAAAATATATGAATAATAGTGCAGTGAAGACATGTTAATAAAATTTCTCTCATTTTTTTAGTTCAAATTTATTTCTGCCTTTTTTGTGGTTTCAAACATAATTACGATTTTAATGCCTAGAAAGGTATGCATGAGTATTTTTTTTTATTTTGATTCAATTAATACTCCACGAACTTATTTTTTCTAATTTAATCTTCACTATCTTCTAAAAAACGCAGCTCATTGGTCAACTACTGGTGATACCTCATTGGACGTGTTGAAATTTTCCTCTACCCTTATCGAACAAGATGTCAAACCGGCAATGCTAGCATTTCTCAATTTTTATTTGATTCAATTGAGATTGAACTAATAACAAAATAATTAAATTAAAATTAAATTTTTAAAAATATTAGATGCATATGTTAAATATATATATATAAAAGAAATGAATTCACAATATGTCTAATTGTTAACAAAATAAGATAATATGATTATAAATAAAAAATATTATAAATTATAATTTTATAATTTGTCAAATATAAATAGATCTTGGTCAAATTAAGTAAAATAAAACTTAAAAATTCTGAATTTATACCTATAGCTATCAACATCTTCTTAGAGAAAAGGTTCCAAATCATAATTATATACATGTCCAAGGTTTAAAAATAAATTTGGCTTTTAGTTGGTATTTTTTAAAATTTTTTTTTTGCTCTTTAATTTTTTAGCCTTTTTTTAGTATTATATTTAGACATCTTCAATTCTCTAAAAATTGTTCTGATTCCCAACTTAACTCTAATTTCTAGCTCAATGACAGTTCAACTACAGTCTACAATCCAACCCAATTCAACCATGAAAATGATTTTTTTGGTCCAAACTGAGCTATTAACTGCTTCAATTAATAGTTCAATTAGGTTCTTAAAACAACGATAGGAATAAAATAATAGAGTATTAACTGACCAATTCCAACATTGCATTTTTTTCTAAGGAGAAAGTTTATGTGAGTTTGGTCCCTAGTGATCACTATAGTTAGGGCACATTTTTATGTGAGTTTGGTCCCCAGTGATCCCCAGCCTTGAGCCTCCTCACTTCAGAAGCATTAACGAAGGTGGTGGCTGTTATCAAAGGAGCGGCTAAATCACTTGAGAACAACGAGAAGTTTATAAATTGAAAAGTAGGGTTTGGACTATTGTAGTGTACAATTGCCGCATCAGGAGTGTTACCTGAAATAAAAAATAATAAATAAAACATATTGATAGAAAATGTGCGCCCCGATAATATAAATCAGATCACATTCTACTTATAAAATTTCAGCCATACAACAAAATTAAAAAAAATTAAATAATATAGATTCTGAAAAAATAATAGGTTCCAATGGGATTAACATGGCTTAAGGTTAGTTTGCTTACTGTAAAAGAAGTGAATAGAATAAATGAAGAAAATAAAGATAAAAATAGAATAATCACAGTATAAAGAAGAGATAAGTCAACTGTGTTTATGAAGATGGAAGGATAATTTAATTCAAGAGAAGATAAGTCAACCATATTTATGAAGAGGGAAGGGTAATTTAATTCCAGAGAAGATAAGTCAACCATGTTTATGAAGAGAGAAGTGTAATTTAATTCATAAAGTTGAAAGTTATACTTCACAAGGTTTGTGATAAGTGTGGTAATTCCTATATTTATAATATGTGATATTAAATTTTATTATACTTACTATAAAAGATAAGGTAATTTAATTTATTTTTGTTCTCATTGTTTTTAACATATTACATTCCGGACCAAATGACTCCTTGAGCGACATTTCATATTTAGCCCAAACAAAATAAAATAAGAAATAATTGATTCAATTCAATATCTAAACAATATCCTAATTTAAACAAAATAACTATCAAGTGATTTAAAAGGTCATATCTATTATTCAATTCAAATTTAATTTAAATATTTAAAATATCTTGTAAATCTTTACAATAATACATTAAATTATAAAACACTCTTTTAAACAATAAAAATAAATATAGTCCCCCTAAACAATGTACAATTT